GAGAGGATAAGCTCGGAAGTGACAGAGCCACGACCAGAACTCACATCTTCCCAATTCTGAGTCCCCTGCTCTCTCTCTGGCACCACACCACTTTAAGCAATACTACCTAACATTGGTTTAGTGGAGCGCAACACCATTAGTTGCAAACAAATTGATTTTTAACATTAGCCTGAGTTAGGTGTCATTGGGGAGATAAATTTGTTTTGATTTCCTTCACACCAAGAAATATATTCTAACACCAAACAGAAATGAGTTTCATGCTGTGTACTTGGAGTATTCAAATCACATTCTTTCCACCAACATGGGTGACCAAGGATCAATTGTGACTCTGCAGAGGAATCATAGAATGTCACAGCTGAGAGACACCTCGAGGATCATATATTCACTCCCTTGGGTGTTCAGATGAAAGAGTCTAGAATGGTCGAGGGAAGTTTCAAAACTTGGCCAAGGGACCCAACTTTGAAGGAACATACAAGAAATCAAATAAGTCAATCCTAGCTCAGTGATATTATTTGGCTCACTAGGCAAATACTCAGTCTTCTTTGGTTTATTCTGGCATTTATTATTTGAAAGTTTCTCAAGGTACTCCCTCAGCACCACTGTGAGGGGTGATTTTCCCAGAAGTGGCCTGGCAAATCTGGCATTTTCTTTCTCTGTATGGATTTTCACTGCTGTATGAGATGGTCTTCTGCGTGAAGGGGGAAAGGCAGACACAGGGCAGGTGTGTCCTGAATTTCAGTTCTTCCTGGAAGGAGGCTGGGCCATGTTCTCAGTGTCAGGAAAACTCATTCTCAGGGGGAATAGAGGAAAGGGACAATGTGTGGGGACTAGGTTTACCACGGTAATGTCCAGTCTTAGCTGAGACCAAGCTTCATGCTTGGAGACTCAGTGAACCTTGAGAAAATTCATGGGATACCAAGCCCAGAAATGAAATTGAGATTAGACAGGGGTATCTTCCAGGCTTGGAATATTTGGGATGTGAACATTGCTTTATTTATTTCCACTCCTTGCTCTCGGTATTGATATGTAGTTTTTGAGAGTTACAGAAAAATTGCAGTGAATTAAAAGGAGAATATCAGGCTGTCAGAGAGACTTCAAATCACATACAGGGAGGAACAGCTAAAAAACATGGGAGAATAGAGACAAGGAAGGGAGATTCTGGGGGTGTTTGATTATAGTCTTCATATATCTGTCCGAAAGGAGCTGGCTTATCAGAAGACAGCTGGATTCTCATGTCTGTTTATGTATTGTATCTATGACAATATGTTGATTTTATTGAAATATATGAGAAAAACCTGGCAGTATACAGGTATGTAGGTCAAAAAGGTTAGTTGCAATGTGGGATGTTAATGAACTTTTCATATTCTATTACCAAAAAATCTATTGGTCTATATTGCACTTTACATGGATATTTCACTCATGCTTGGTTTTATAACATTATTCATTTATCATTGGGGAAATAATTGGTTCACTGATTTAGGCAACTTCCACATGTTGACACATTTCATTATACTATATCATTGTAATTAATATTACCATCAATATCTTGGTATCAGAGAAGTATTTAAACATTGGAGAGTCATCCAGCTCACTGTGACAGATACAAGTTTTCTTAAAGTCTAATTTTTGCCTGAAAGCTTAGATTTTTGTCATCAGCAACAGCTATGAGCTGTTTTTCTTGATGTGACAGGCTCCTTTCATTCACTTTGAAGAAGATGCCTACCAAACACACAAGTCCGAGCAACCATAGGTTGGTCTGTGAGTCATTCTTTCAAGCAAAAATGGTGTTCTTCTGGAAAAAGTGGCTAGTTCAGCCTGCAACTCAAACAATCACACAAATGCCTTTCTTGAGATAACTACCATAATTTGGAATGCAGCAGAAGTGCTTTATGTTTACTTCCCCTTTTGTCACACAGAATACTGAAAAGACATATAGTTAAGAGTTAAGATTTAATAAAATTAATATTTTTACTGTTTCATTAATATTATGGACTGAATTGTGTTCTCTCAAAATTTTTATGCTGAAGTCCTCACCACCTCAGAATGTGACTGTATTGAAGACAGGGACTTTAAAGAGATAATTAAGCTAAAAGAGATCTTTTGGATTGGATTATGGTGGCACCCTAGGGGGGATCCTAATCAAAACTGACTGGTCTGCTTAAGAAGAAATTTGGACACACACAGATAAGAGACACCAGGGATGTACATGCACAGAGGAAAGATCATGTGTGGACCCAGTGAGAAGGTGGCCATCCACAAGCCAAGGAGAGAGACGTCAAGAGAAACCAAATCTGGGCACCTTGATCTTGGACTTCCAGCCTCAGAACTATGAGAAAATCAATTTCTGTTTTTTAAGTCACTCAGTCTGTGGTATTTTGATATGGCAGCCCTCACAATCTAATACAGTCAATAGCATTTTTAAGTGAAATTACCTTTTTTCCCCTGTGAATATGTGGCAGTGAAGAAGACAATGACTACTAACACAGAATTGATGCAGCTGCCTTGATTCATGGTAAGGTACCGGCACTTTACCCACCATTGCTTTTGCACCATCAGTGCAAATGTCAACACAATGGAAAAGGAAAATAATGTTTTGGTATCATTATGAAAAGAGTTCTGACTTCATGAACTCCCTGAAAACCTCTTGGGGCCCCTAGAGGTCAATGACCATCCTTTGAGAACTATTGAAATCTATGTTATTTGTGATGCTGAAGCTGCAATGGCAGCAGTAAAACCCAGGCTGTCCTTATTGCTTCACCACTCTCTACCCGTTTGCTAGTGATTAGCACATCAATTATATCATATGCTTTGACTGATGAATGAATAAGTGGTCAGAAGCCATTTTGAGCATTAGCCTCCAGTTCTGTAACAATGATAAAATTGACCCAAATACTTACTTGGAGTCTCTATAATGAAGGACCATGATCATGCGCCTCTGGTTTCTTCTTGGTGGTGCTCTGGGGGTCAGATGCCGGATTCATGATGATTGTGCTTTGATGACAGAGGAAGGGCTCAGTGAAGGCCAAGAGACTGACTACATCACCTTCAGTACCCATACTACATTTCTGTGGCAATACTTCAGCCTTTCCATTAAAAATAATGTTTACTTGTTTAAGGGACAGAGAATTGGAATGGTAACTTGAATTTTTGGCAAAATCATAAAGAGGAGAAAAAGAACAACATGACTTGCAGAGCTAAAGGGTCAAATAATATACTTAGCAACTGGACAGAAATTAGAAGAGATCAGGGTTTAGTAGTGACACCCACATAAGTTCCAAAAATAGAGTCCTAGTTATGCCCCCTCATTCATGGGCCCTCTGACATACTCTGACTTTTATCAAAACCATCTCTTACCTTCTGTATGATGCTCACCCACCTGAGGGCAAAGTGATCTTGACAATCAACTAATGGGAGTTCATTGGAGCATCTGTGGAAGTCTGGAACCACCTCCCCTTCCCCACAACTGGAAGGCTTGGTTTTGAACTATTATCATGTCAGATCTTGAAAATCAGTGATTTTAACATACCTCACTTACGCCTGTGTCTTGAATAAGAATAATACAAAATGTGCAACATTACCATTAGTGGTTTTCTTATTTACCTCACAATATAGTCAGCAACAGTCTTCATTGTCGCCTTAGAAATATGTCCTTTGAAATATGTTCTCTGAACAGAGCCGCAGTCTTTAAGAAAATATGCTAATTCTCATGCAGCATATTGCATTTTACTTTTTCACTGTTTAAATATTCTGAAGACTTCTTGGATATTTAAAAATGAAAACTTTAGAAAAAATTTTAGTGAAAGGTTCTGAAACATTCCAAAAAAGGAATTAATAGAATCAATATCTGTGGACTCATCACCTAGATTTAGATTTAACCGTCATGCATGTTTGCCACATTTGCCATTTACTTTGGTCAAGTACTTAACAATAAATTATGAACATCATGACTATTCATTCCTAAACATTTCAGCATACATTTTTTAAAAAAATATTTTTCTACATAACCATAATACCAATTCCCACTTGACAAAATTAGCAATTCCCTGAAATCATTTAGTAGCCAGCCCACAGTAAATTTTCCTAATTCTTTCCACAATGTCTTTTACAGATGGGTTTTTTAAAGCAAGAATCCAGTTAATGACTATGTATTTAATTTGGTTGCTATATCTTTTAACTTTCTTTAATGTGTAATAGTCTTCTTCCACTGCACCTTTTCTCTTTTCCTCCCTTTCATCTCATTTATTACTGAAGGGCCTGGTCTGTTGTTCTGTAGAATGTCTCACCTCCTGGATTTGTCTAACTATTTCTTTGTGAAATCCTTTAATTTGTTCTTCTTGCTCCCTTGTCTCCTATTAGAACTAGAGGTTTGATTAGCTCAGTTTATTTATTTATTTTTGGTAAGAACACTGGGTAGGTGATGTTGTGTCCTGAATCCTGCATCATGTCAAGATGCACATCATGACTTAATGAGGCTAAGATGGATCATTAGGATAAGATGATGACATAAATATCTATCTTCTGTAAAGTTACATGTTGCTATTGCAACTAGCATTAATATGAGATCTTAAAATGTTTTAAACTTTGTTTTTTGGCTTTGAATATTCTTTTCTTCATGATTTATTGTGAGAAGCAGGAAGCTGGTTATATTTCTACTTTCTGTAATTGTGAATGCCTCCAGTCTGCTATAACAGAAAGAAATGTTACAAACCCATCATTATATGCTGAAACATTATCTAAAAGAGTCTATTCTTTTAGGAAATAAGCAATCCAAGAATGATATGCTCAATTTCTGCACTAAAAATAAGAATTTCATTAAAAGTGTTATTTCTGGGAATTGTATATATTCCCTGAAAATGGGAATCAAAATGTGCCCTTTTGATTTTGTTTTGAGTGAGTTGACGTATTCTATCCTTTAAGCCATAAGCCTACTTGTTTTGGACACTCTGTGGGGAAGCATAGGTATAGTTTTCTTACCATGTGCATTGCTTTTGGTCTCATAGATTTAAAAAGAGCAATTCGACTTGGTGTGTCAACTGGTGATGGAAATCCCAGGATGAGGGGATTAATCCCTGTGCTCTTGGATCAAAATATGCAGGGTCAAGAGAAAAACGAAAGAGAGCCCAGGATGTGTAAGTTTTCAGATCTATGGTATTAATGTTGATTGGTCCTCTGAAGTGAATAGAAATATTTCTTAGTTCCCAGTAAATATCTTTCAAAAACACATAGTTTAAATGGGTAGGGATAAATTATGCCTTTGTTGTGGGATGAGGAGACTCCTTGGTGGCATTATGTCAGAGAGGGAAATTTCTGACTCTGCAATCATATTCCTGGTCTTGCTAGGTTTTCCACCATCCTAAGGACCAACTGAAGATTCATCTCCAAGAGCTCTTCCCAGCTAACTCTACCCAACAATATTTTCCCTGCCACCATCTGTTTACTTATTTGTGACTTTCTAATAACCCAGGTTTTCTTTGTGAAGACTCTGTACTCTTCATCACATCGGGGGGCCATTTGTCCATGGCTACCTAAAAATGGTGTTCTTGCCATCTCTACTCCCTCAGTCAGCAGTTTTCTCATCAGAACAAGACACATGAACTGTTAGAATTTGGGGATTCAGTGACACAGTTTCACCTTGTAAATCTGTTTCTAGTTATGGCCTTCAGAAAGACAATATTTAAAAAAAATTTGGACTCTGAAAGCATGTCCTATTCCAATGAGATGGAATGCAATTCACAACAACCACTTTCCAAGCACTTGTTTTGTTTTGCACTAGGCATTGAGCTCTTTGAAAGGAGCAATTGTGTAAATTAGACAGATGTGGGTTCCACTTCTTGACTCACCATATATTAGTGTGTGACCCAGTGCACAGGTTCACAGTCATTGTTAGTTCCATTCCCTTTATTTCTCCTATGATATTTTCTTTTATGTTGCCATGGGCATATTTAATAAATATAATTAAAATGTGTCGTTGGGATTATTTATTATTGATGACTTTGGTGATCCCTGTTCATATTCTGAAACCACTGCCCTAGACAATATGGAGTAAATCACCAAAGGGAGGAGATAGGGGGAAAAGATGAAGAAACTCATGTATTATTACTCTCCCTTGACACTCACAGGACTCTTCCCAATGCTGAGACATACAGAGTGGATTACAGCTGAGTGTTTTTGAACAAAGGCTTAATAAACTTCAACCTCCGTGGTACCGAGTACTGAAGTCACAGTGAAATACAGCAGTACAAAAACCCTCTTCTTCTTTTTCACTGTTTCTTGGCATTTTGCCATCACCAACCTCTGCCATCGGAATACCTCAAAAATCTTTCACCAATGCTGTTATTGTGGTTAAATGCTATAAAACTCACAGGCACAGAATGATTACAATCATACAAATCAATGAGTAAAACACTAAAAACCTAAAAAATTAATGGGCAAAGGGCAAATGCAGAAATTCACTTATTGATCAACAAACTTTGAAAAATGTTTTAACTCTCTGGTAATAAAAATGCAAATAAAGAATTAAGAAACCATTTTTTTTTGTACAGATATCTAAGCAATCCTTTTAGAAAAAAGTGATGTTCTCAATGCCGGCAAGATGTTGGTAACAATATAAATTGTTGTATTTTTATTGGAAACCAATTAGTTTATACCAACAGGGTGAAAATATTTATACTAGTTTGAGCAAATAGTAGCACTTTGGCAAATTGACTTTAAGAACATACTATACCTGTTTGAATATAAAGTAAGGTTTATCATTGTCAGAGAAAAGAGAATCCCCATAAAATGGATTCCTTATAAAAATTACAAAAAGCAATATTACAATGCTTTCACGCAATTATTTTATTTTGCACAATTAAGTAGAGTTTAGCGAAGACACATTAACCTGGGATGATCTCATTCAATGCTGGTTCATAGATACTCACGCAAGTCAGCTGATGAGGTTAGTAAAAAGGTGACTAAGTAATTTAACAAAAACTTAGTAACTATTCTTGCAAATATGTCTTTGAAATTACAAATATTCAATCTTGTTTAAATAAATCTTTTAAAGGAAATGTTTTCTTGTGGACATCATGATTATTTCCTTACAGGATAAATGTCAAAACAACTGTTCTAATGTTTTGTGAACAGGTATTGCGGTTCAAAGATGTTTAGTGATAGCTTCATATATGGATTCATAATGTGCTATAATTCAGACAACTTAGACTCAAGTAAGTTTGATATGCTCTGGAAAAATGTGTGAGTATTAAAAAAAGCAGCTTTATTGGTGACAAATACAATGATTTGAGATGCTTGTGAAGAATTTGAATAAAATTTATGAACTATTCGTATGGAAAAAAGCATTTCAAAATTAATATACTATTTTATATAATACATTATTTTAAATATGTATGTATGGCTAAATTAATTTGTTAAAAAGTTTTGAAGTAGAATTTGACAATTTTGTCTCCAATCCTAAGGGTTTATGTATCCAAGTTGGCCAACAGCCCTATTTTGAAGCTTCTTTTTGAGGAAATAGGGGTTTCAGATTTTATATGTATGTATTAAATATATGTATAGTTTATATATATAGTTTCCTCACATACATATACAATAATTTTAAATAACAAAAAGTATTTAAGTACAGATATGTTCATCACAGCAATTTTTGTAACAGGAAAAATGTAGAAGCTGCCTAAATTCTCAGTCATAAGAGAACTGATTGAGTAAACTATAGTTTGTTCTAAGACACAAATTAATGTTGCTCGTTAAAAACACTGATTAGGGAAAGTATCTAATAACATAGAGAATTTATTATATAATGTTAAAAAAACAAATGTGTATATGGAGTATGACTACATATACATAGTATGTAATAATCTAAACATTGGAAAACAAAACTGGGAAAGAATATACCAAAATAATAACTGTGTTGCTTTTTGGTGGAAATCTCGATATTGCTACAACATAGAATATCCTGTAATGATTCCAAGAAGAAACAGAGCTCAGGTCATTGAGTTCTGACCTCCAGCCAATGTAGCCAACCTTCCCAGTGTAGTCATCCACCGGAACTCACTCAGTGACAAGGACTTTTGTTTCACTGTTGATCAAGCTTTCAACTATTATAAAGCTATTCCCACTATTGAAATGAAATCTTTTCTAGGTATCCTTTTTATTTTTTTTTCCCTGTTGGCCCCAATTCTGCCCTCTGCTGCAGACCTGTCTCCACATGCAGGTTAATATTCTCTTTGGCTCTGTGCTCCAGCTGGGCCTCTTCCTGGACATGAGAAGAGTAGTGCCCACTCTGGAAGACTCCAGACTCTCCTTGTATGATCCACACCGAGCCTTTAAATGAAGGGAGAACAAATTTCTGTCTTTCATTTGGGCCTGTTGAAAATTTTGCCCTGGTTGCTTTAGTCTTTAGCTCATGGCATCATCTCTATTAAAATACAATGCCCCTCCCTCCCACTCAACCTCAGAAAAGCAAAGCCTCCATCTGTTTTTATCACTCACAAATTAGTATGAATTGATTTCACATAATTTCTTCATCATGTTTTGATGGAAGAAACCATTTGAAGGATGTGATGGAGGGGAGGTCCAAGGAGAGGGCACAGAAAGAGGAGATTGGAGCCCCGGATGACCTAGTTTACAGTTTGCAGAGGGCTGGCAGCTGGAAGCCTCCGGTAGCAATTGCCAGGACTTTGGATTATTCTAGGCAGAGCTAAGCATTTTTTGTTTTGGAGGATTCAAGGATTTTGCACTCTGTGAAATCTCATATTTTCTTTCAGAGACCAAAAGACAACACACATTGTAATACTGGCTTTTATATTTTCTGGGGAGACCATTTTCATATCAATTCAGGTGATAAATACTCTGAGTCCACAACAGGATGTTCTCTGGTACGAACATCTTTCTTTCTCTATTTGCACTTTGTCCCTGCCCTTCCTATCTTTCTTAGCTTTACTAAGTAGGTAGTGCACAGTAAGGACAATTTTATTGGGGCAAAAACATTAAAAGAAACCTATAGACAGGGAAAGCCAAGGTACAATCTCTCACAGACAGTTGCAGTACAAGTACATCCTTACAAGGCCTTGCACACACTAGTAATGGTACTCTGATCAGCAGAATCACCATTGCCATTGCCGTACATGCAGAGAAAGGAAAAGTGCTGCTCCTCATGGCTTTGAAAGCTTATCCAGTGTATGATCATCATGTGGGATTTAGAGATGGGCAAGGCCATTGATATAGGAAGGCATTACGTCAAAGCTGTGAATAGATTTGCAGATTTTCCTAAAGTACATATAAAGTTGTAATACCTACTTTCCATTAATTCCCTTAACTCTCCACCTTCTTAAATCTTAGTAGCAAACCCAGCATTTTAATTCCCAGCAGGAAGCATTAAATCCTGGAAGATACTCAGGAGAAAGTCTCCCATCTCTCTCTTTGAGCATGTGTTAGATGTTTGATGGATCATAAGTATGGGAATTTCTAAGAAGCTGGTTCTCATGCCCTGTCTTGGTAGACGCTTCCTGGGTAGTTGGCGGTTGTGACCCACATCTGTTTTTGAACTGGCCCAAAGCCAGGAGCTTTTGTTCTCTGAATTGGAAATCAAATGTGAGGTGTTAGGGGTACAGGAACCACAGGATGTGGGCATTCCGGATCTCTGGTGTGTCCTAACAAAGATGCAACTGTTGGATTAGGAAGGTGGTGAGAAGACTGAGTAGCAGACATGAGTCAGCAGTGGACATGAACAGTTTCCCAGCACCAAAGTCCCATCTGTCCCACCACTTTCCACCTCTGTCTTACAACATGGGCTCTTCCAGGTTTGTTAGCCAATCTCTATAGTCAGGTCTGACTACTGGGATCAGTGTGATGGCATAAACAATGCTGAACAAGGAGATGCTCCCTCCAAATGTGATGGAAACCAGATGGCTTGGGGTAATGGAAGCCAAAGAGCAGTGGCAGAACCATCTTAACCCCTGCTGGCGAGCAAATATCCAGATGGAAAGTCATTGTAGGCAGAGACTTTCTCTCTTGCTTTTCTCATTAAAATAGAGGTGGGTAAATCCTGGTGCAAAACTGCCTTCTGGGGCTGGCCCAGTGGTGTAGTGATTAAGTTTGCACTCCTCTTTGTTGGCCAGGTTTCACAGGTTCTGATCTTGGTGGCAGACCTACACACCACTCATTAAGCCATGCTGTGGTGGTGTCCTGTATAAGAAATAGAGGAAGATTGGTAGAAGTGTTAGCTCAGGGACAAGCTTCCTCATGCAAAAAGAGGACGATTGGCAACAGATGTTAGCTCAGGGACATTCTTCCTCACCAAAAACAAATAAACAAAAACTGTCTCCTTTCTACACAATCAATCTGCACTGATAGTTGAGTTTATTTGTGTATGTAGGATAGAGTCTCAATTTGCATCACTGAATTCTCTATGCAGAAACTATGTACTATGTACAGGAACTTTGAGAAACATATCCAAACAGAAATATGGGGTGATTAGAGACCTATTTACACATAGCCCTTTAAGTCTTTCTTTGGAAACAGGGGAAAATTTTACTCTGGAGTCATATTCACTTACTTTACCTAGAGCCTCCAGACTGACACGAGACTCTATTGACTTGTGCCAGGTTGTGAGTAGACTAGGTCTGCCATAAATACATAGTAGAATGAGGTGTGGTATTAGGAGCACAAAAGTAGACCAGAGAGTTGGAGTTGTCTAAGGTGACAATGCTTCTTTCTTCCATCTAAGGCATGTGATCTGGCTAGCTCCCATTACAGTTCATTCCCTTGATGCGAAGGCATTGAAGCCCTTTCCCTGGAGCTTCACAGGTTTCATCTATCCTACAGAATTGAAGATTTGGTTGTGAGCCTTTACGGCAGTGATATGTAGATAGCCTAACATTTTCCAGTGGCAAATTACAGTGATGAAGTAGCTGGATCTGGATTTAGGTACAAACTTTCAAGTCTTTCTGAGTCAGGTACCTTCAAGGGTCATGACATCAATGGAGCTCAGGCTCAGTCTCCAAATGCTGCTCAGGGGACAGATCTCTGAGAAAAATGCCCACAAATGACAGTAGGTGGTGCTAACTTTCCAGATCTGCATGGGTGGGATTAAGACTGAGAAGCCAAAAACAGGAATAGGAAAAGAACTGTTCTGTATCATTGCCTTGTTAAGGTGCAAAAGATCTCGGAACATCATTTTGGGAGGGTGTAAGTCTCAGCATGAGGGAAGCTGGGAGGAAGATCTGAGAGGTGGAAAGTTTGTAGAGTATCATCACTGTGTGAGTAGATTTCAAAGAGGAAAGTATGATTTTAGAAGGTGGATGCCCAAGGCTTAAGATTATAGAGTGACAGAAAAAAATTCTGCAGAAGACATTAAGTGAATGACTGTGTGTGGAGCAATCACATTCAGAGCATGTTTTACTGATGTTACACTGTCTCAACATAGTCCAAGCTTGAGCTATTTGCTCCCAATAGTTGCCCGAGATAGCAGAGGAATGGAAGAGGAAATCACTCTCTAGAAGCTTCTGAAGAGATTCAAAATTTAACTTGTGCATTGACCCTGTAATGGAAATGAGGATGCACAGAAAAGCCCTTTGGGAGCTAGCTTCAGAAGGGGAATACTAGAAAATAGAAAAAAGTCAGAGCATTTAAAGAAGAAAAGGAAATTCCCTGCTCAGTGAATGGTCAGTTTTAACATAGTTTGGAACATACAATTTTCCATCAAAATATCAGTAACAACATCTCAATGAACTTGGGTCTGGATGCCACACAGACACAAACGGCTATTAGTCTGGTCTTAGAAAGATGGCACTTGTTGCTTATCCAACTGGCTCACGATGATATTATTCAATAGCAGATGGGGTGGATTTGCTTCTGGGAGGTTGTCGTCTGAGGAGTGGGTAGGAGCATATATTCCCCTGGTGAACAATTCCAGTCCCGTACATTTCATGAAGTTCCTGAATTGTTGCTTTCTATTGTTTTAGACTGTTCTCACGTCCTAGACCCACACCTAACTCTCAGTCTTGGAAAACGGGCAATGCCAAGGGAATGGGTCTCGGATCCATGACCATCC